CCCTCCACCCCTCCCTCGTCCGATTGCAAATCTACGATCCAATTTACGAAAAGACGCTTTTCGATAAGCACTAGATAAGCTTCCGAGGGAGAGAGAGTGAGAGGGGGGAGGGGGCATGTATGTAGGCCTACCGGCCAAAATGCAGAGCACTTTAATTTGTTACTTGGTTTATTTTTGTGTCTTCATCTGTTTTTTCAGCGTATATTGTGTGGCACTGTCCTAATCTTGTTTTGCTCTCTCTCTTTTCTTAGTGCCAAAATGAACCTGCCCCCCGAGCTGGAGGTCCCTTGGACGTGCCAGCTGTCAGGCGTTCCCAAGGTCCCACAAGCCAACATCATTTTGTGTATTCCTGGTGGAGTATTCCCTGAGGCATGCAGTCACCCAGCCTGCACCGAGACCACGAAGGAGGACCACTGCCTAGAGGACGGCGGGAAGAAAGACGGCAGCAAGGTGGACGACGTCGGTGGAGACGTCAATTCTGGGTTTGACGACCTTGCCCTGACCCTGTGGTCTGACCGAGCCAGGCGCTCCAGGTCGTGCGCGCCCTCCCTGCAAAGTCGCCCCTCACGCACCCTGAGGGCAAGGTCAGTCGCCCCGTTCTACAACAACCCTCCTAGCTCCCCGTCCTCGTGCGGGAGTCGCTCTCCGACCCGCGGCCGTTCAAGACTCAGGAGGTCGGCACGAAGCGTCTCGAGACCACCGCCATCCAGATCTCGTCGAAAGTCATCCAGATCTCGTCGAAAGTTATCCAGGTCACGAAGCAGGACTCCCTCACCGCCACGGGCCCGCAGCAGGCAGTCTCCACGGCGAGGTCGATCAAGAGCACCAAGACGCTCCCGCAGTCGGTCATCTTCCCGCCGGTCATCTCCCCGTCGGTCATCTCCGCGTCGGTCTTCTTCCCGTCGGTCACCCTCCCGTCGGTCACCCTCCCGTCGGTCACCCAACCGTTGGACACCTACCCGATGGTCGCCTCACCGTCGGTCACCTCACCGTCGGTCACCTCCCTGTCGGTCACCTCCCCGTCGGTCGCCTCCACGTCGGTTCGTTCGAAGCAAGTCGTTGGCACCCTCGCGGGTCAACCCGAGCAGGGCGTGTGCCCCTAAAATACCAGTGAGGAGTTCACCACCAAGGGTAGGAGGGAGGTCACGGTCAAGGAAGTCACGGACCCCGTCGCCCTCCCAGCGCTATCGCCGCTGTACGTCCTATGCTCCCCGGAGGTCCAGGAGCAGGACTCCGCGCAGGTCGCGTGGGTCTAGGAGGTCACGGAGCAAGTCACGGGTGTCTCGAAGGTCAAGAAGTAAGACGCCTACGCGCAGGTCGCGGGCTAGTTCACCACCCTGCAGGAGGCGATCAGTGAGCACGTCGAGGTCGAGGAGCAGAACACCATCCCGCTGTGTATCGCGAGGTTCCAGGCGATCAAGATCTCCACGCCGCAGGTCGCAAGTCTCGAGGGGGTACCGCTCTCGCACCAGGTCCCCGGATAGGAAGTCGCGGTTCAGCAGTCGGTCACGGTACGGGAACTCGTCCCGCAGCAAGTCCCAAGCGCCTCGTGCCAGCACACCGGACCGCAGGAGGTCTCGGGCCTGCAGCAGCTCAAGGGGCCGAACGCCACCGCCCCGCAGCAAGTCCGTAGCCCCGCCGCGGTCCCGGGCCAGGTCGAGGAGGTCCAGAAGCAGAACTCCCCCGGCCGCATCCCGTCGCGGGAGGGGCAAGTCCACGGCACCCATGGCTGCGCACAGCCCATCTCTGCGTGTCTCTCAGCCAGACCGTCGAAGGGGCCGCTCCTGCGCCCCGGCGGCCAGCACCAAGAGGCGCCCTTCGCCGCCAAAGCGGGTGCCGCCCAAGAAGAATCTCAAAGGAAACGACCCCGCGAAAAGGTCAAGCCCTCCGTGGCTGTCCAGCGCATTCACCCTGGTGTCCGTTGCCTCACTGGACTGCCAGCGATGCGAGGGCGTCGGTTACAAGGTGTTACCCGAGACGAGCTCTGCCTGCTTTGGCATGGCCGTGTGCGTGTGCTGCCAGGGCCTCGACGGCCTGCATCGGGTCGGCCTCATCGGCCTCGCCTTCTCGCGACACTGCGAGGCGCGGGGAGCTGCGCGCGTGCTGGCCTCTACGAGCAGCTGCCAGGCGGAGGCAGAGCCGGCCGCGGAGGCCTTCGCCAAGAGGCCGGCGTGGCGGTACCGCTACTTCTGGTACCTGGTCGAGGACGAGGACCACGACGGCCTGGAGTCCCTGCGCGCCGCCCTGGGGGAGATGGCCGCCGTGCTGCGCGACCGCTGGGAGTCCTGCGGGGGGTCGTGGTGCACGCATTGCCTCGCTCACGGAGTGGCGCGTCGCCTCGGTGCAGACCACGTGATCACTCAGTGCGTTCACCGGGTGTGCTGGTGTTGGCTGTGTCAGAGCGACTCGCCCTACCCCAGCCTGCTGGCCAAGCACGGCATCGACAAGATCCCCAGCATCAGCTTGGAGAGGAGCGTGATGCCGACGACGACCGAGGTGCGTGCACCGTCTCCCAGCCCAACCAAGAAGCCAGAGACGGAGATGTCCAATCGCGTCCACACATTCCAGATGAGCTTGCAAGATGTAGTGAACCAGCTCGTGAAGAAGGAGCTGGGCTTTGACCAGGATCAACAGGCGCCCGCAGTGCCGGTGCGCTCGTCAGTCATCGTGCTGGGGCCTGCGGTTGATGAAGGGGACGGGGACGGGCGCTCTTCTTGTGTTGGCAATACAAAAGAGGACGCCGTCGCTTCGGCCTCGACGCATGGCCCGGAAGCTGGGGGCAGTGCCCAGCACCGCGCCGACGATGATCTCACCTCGCCCAAGCAGAGGGAGCGGCGGCGGCAGTCCGGCACGCTGCTGTCCTCCGACTACATTGAAGAAATCCTGAACCAGAAGCCAGGAGCGGGGCGGAGGGGCGCAAGGATGTGCAAGGCCTGTCGCGCCCACGACGTGTCCACGTCCTCTCGCGGCCACAGAGGCAACTGCCCCTTTGCGGACTGCCAGTGCGTCCTCTGCGCCACGGACACGTGCTCGACGGCCTCGTCCCGCCTGTCGCGCGCATCCACGCCGTCGACGTGCTCGGAGCTGTCTTCGCCGGCCCCCGTCCGGCCGCAGACCCCCGAGGCAACCGCACCGTCATTCGCGGCGCTGTCTCCTGAAGCGCCCGTCCTGAGGCCCTTCTGGAAGACGTCCCCCTCCTCGCCACCACCAGGGGCACCGCCGTTGTCCCCCACAACTCCCCCGCCGGCTGAGCCCCATGCGCGCGACGCCGGCGCCGGACCTGAACCGAGCCCAGTGCGACCGTTGGTTGAGCCCGACGTGGACGCCGTCCCCAGCGGTCTCGGTGCACCTACCTCCTTGGCACCGCTGATTAGGGTGGAACCATCCCTTCAGAAGATGTCGGCTTACTTCTCCGTGGACGGGGCCCTCCCTGAGCTACCGCCGCCGGCCCAGCTTGCCGAGGCTTCTGCCGACCGTCTGTCTCCGGAGCTGGCGCGGCCATGCACTCCCCCGCTTTTGTCCGTCAAGCGGGTCAGGCCGCAGGTCTTCTCGCCGCAGCGTAACCCATTCAACAACGCGAATGACGACGACATAGGTGCGTACCCGTGCGTGTTGTTGCCTCTTGTGTTGTCCGACCTCTGCCCCGCCGTTGTCCTCACGGGTCGGCCTCTCTGTTGCAGATCTTGCCTACGCGTGCCTGTGGTGCGGCCAGTCTTTTCAGGACGAGGCCGCGGCGGACGTCCACGCCCTGACGCACGCCGAGGAGGACGCCGAGCCCGAGCAGGAGGCCAGGTGTGCAGGCGAGACTCGGCGCAGCGAGCCTCACGTGAGCGGTTTGAAAGGGTTGTCGCAGCAAAGTCTGAGTTGTTTTGTCCCCGATGCGCAGAGAGTACAGCCCCCAGCAAAGTCAGCTCTGATGCAGCACGTCCCGGCCCCAGTGCAGCACACCACGACCCTCGTGCAGCACACCACGACACTGGTGCAGCACACCACAGCCCTGGTGCAGCTCAGCTCGACTCCGGCGACGCACACCCCGACCAGTATGCAACACTCAGTAGCGTCGGTGCCGCACGTCCCGGCCCCGTTGCACCAATCTACAGCGTTGGTGCCACACGGCCCTGCCCCAGTGCACCAATCTACAGCATTGGCGCAGAACGCCCCGGCCCCAGTGCACCACTTCACAGCCGTGGCTCCGCGCGCCTCGGCCCCGGTGCACCATTCTACAGCCATGGCGCTGCGCGCCCGAGCTCTGTTGCACCAATCCACAGCTATGGTGCCGCGCCCCCGAGCCCCGGTGTACCAGTCTACAGCTATGGTGCCGCGCGCCCAAGTCCCGGTGCACCAATCTACAGCCATGGTGCAGCGCGCCCAAGCCCCCGCGCACCAGTCTACAGCAATTGTGCCACACGCGCAAGCCCCGGTGCACCAATCTACAGCATTGGTGTCGCACGCCCTAGCCCCGGTGCACCAATCTACAGCCATGGTGCCGCGCGCCCAAGTCCCGGTGCCCCAATCTACAGCCATGGTGCAGCGCGCCCAAGCCCCGGTGCACCAATCTACAGCTATGGTGCCGCACGCGCAAGCCCCGGTGCACCAATCTACAGCCATGGTGCAGCGCGCCCAAGCCCC